CCTCGGCCTCCCAAAGTGCTGGGATTACAGGCAAGAGCCACCACGCATGGCTGATGATAAGTAATTCAAAACACATTTTTATATTAAAGTACAATATATTTGTGGACTGTAAGGGAACATTTCCATTCATTTTCTTTTTTTTTTTTTTTTTTTGAGTTGGAGTCTCACTCAGTCGCCCAGACTGGAGTGCAGTGGTTGCTCCCGGCCACCACAGCCTCGACCTGCTGGGCTCCGGCGATCCTTCCGCCTCAGCCTTCCGAGTAGCCGGAATTACAGTCATGCGCTACCACGCCCGGCTGATTTTTTGATTTATTGTAGAGATGAGGTCTCGCTGCCCAGGCGGGTCTCGAACCCGCAGGCTCAGGCAATCCATTCACCTCAGCCTCCCAAAGGCGCGGGATTACAGGCTGAGCCACCGAGCCCGGCTCCATTCATTTTCCTAGACAAAACAGGACACATAAATTTCAAGCCAGTGCCAAGCTATTTCAGGCTTGCCTTTAGACACCACCACCCCTTTCTTGTGGAAAAATTTGAGATGTACTAGAGGAATGTGCCAGAAAATTTTATGTGTCTGTGCCTTGGCATATGCTTTTTGCTCATCCTGTAGTGCTCTTCCCGTTTTTCTCCTTGGGTAAGCCACACTTACCCTTCAATGCTCAACTTTAGTGTCATCTCACACAATAGTCATTTTAAATGAAGCTTAAATGTCCTCCCATATAACAGTTGTTTTTTGAACACCCACTTACATCTCTGCATCCTTTCCTAATAGCTCCAGGCAGAGTAAAGCTCTGCCACCCTTCACCCAGACTTTCCATTATAGCACTGCTCATATCGGACCCGGTGTATTTATTTTCTTATCCACTTCTGCTGCTGGACTGTAAGCCTCTCTAAGGCAGGGACTATTTTTAAATTTGTCTTTGTATTCTTAGTGACTGGCACTTGATAGACACTCAATAAATGTCTGTTGAATGTTGAATTTTTAGGTCATTCCTAACTTGGCATCACCTCTGCTCTTGTATAAAGTACTATCTCCTTTATTTCTCATCTTCAGGGAATGACGTGATCCACAAAAATACATTTTCCAGACAACTAAAGTTTACTTCCTAAAGTATCAAAATCTGTCGCTTAAATAATCATTTTGGTAGGAATTAATTTTTCTGAATTTTTGCACACTTGCTTGCTCTCATAAGTAAAATATACTAAGCATTGTGTATTCCTTGATAACTTATCCCCAAAAGCATCAGGGTATGTTTGACTGGAATTCATGGAATCACTAATGGGCAGGGCTTTTTGCCTCCACGCCGAATTATCCTAGTATCTCCTAGTTTTTGAATTCTTGTGCTTGCTTCTGATAGTTTGGTCACCACTTCTCACTGTCAGTGTGCTTGCTCCTTTTAAATGGATATTAAAATTACAAGACTAATATGCATTCACTGAGAACAAACAGAAGTGTATGGAGTAAAAAGTCAAAGTGCTCCTTTCATCTGTGTAACTACTTCCCACGCTACCACACCACTTGAGACACTCGCATCCACACTCTCACTCCCTAGACATAACCATTGTCAACAGTTTATTGTGTATCCCTACAGGCCTTTTTCTATTCATGTATATGTATACATGTGTATGTAAAAATATCAAATCATATTATGCATACTGTTATATGACTTGCTTTTCTCACTTGACAGTATATAATAGCTATCCTTCCATGTCAGTACATCCAAGTCTATATCATTCTTTTTAATGGCTGCCCCCTTTTAATTTGACAATCTTAATCAGCTGTGAATGGGAAAGCCAAATAATCAAGCTTATTAGAGTTGTACCTAAGAAAGAATAAATCGGCTCAGAGTGAAGGCTTGCGTAATTCTCCTAGGAGTAAAATGTGTTAACTTTAGTGCTTGGACTTTGTAATGTTTATTTTGGCTATTCTGGGACCCTTTTTACTTATTTCCTGCTTCATTGTGTTTTGGATAGCTAAGGTTGCTGGACACATGACCTGTGAGTTAGTGAGGTATTATATATTTCAGTTTGCTATGGTTTTGTGGGATTTTTGCATTCAATTTTGTCATTGAGATTGTCCTTATAGACTGATTATTGCATATAGTTTCTAAGTACTTGCATCATAGTGATGACCGCTGCACGTGGTAGTAGCTAAATATATTTGGTTTGATAATTGACATAGGATTTCTTATTTCTATCATCTACCTGTGAGATTGTGCACTGGACTTATGGAAACTCTGTAAGTTGACCTGAGGAAGCCTTTTACTGCTGATGAGCATTAAAGTACTGACAACTTGTGCTATAAATAATAAAATCCTATTTTGAATTTATAGAGTCTTCCTTCTGTCATCTACTATAGTCAAGTGGCTAAATCCTGTTGACTCTGCCTTTTAGATCTTACTGTATCTTGTCCCTTCCTTTCCATTCTCAATGTTGCAATACCCTACCATGGTTTCAGGCCCTACCATGAATTACCTGCAACAGACTTTTTAATTGGACTCTCTGCCTCTTGTCTAAATTCCACCTTGCGCACCCAGCAACTAGTGTTTGTTTTATTTTTATTTTTATTTTCTTTTGAGTTGGAGTCTCACTCTGTCACCCAGACTGGAGTGCAGTGGCCGCTCCCGGTCACCACAGCCTCGACTTGCTGGGCTCCAGCGATCCTTCCGCCTCAGCCTTCCAAGTAACTGGAACTACAGGCACGCACTATCATACCCGGCTGATTTTTTGATTTATTGTAGAGATGAGGTCTCGCCAAGTTGCCCAGGCGGGTCTCGAACCCTCAGGCTTAGGCAATCCACTCACCTCAGCCTCCAAAGCGCTGGGATTACAGGCTGAGCCACCGAGCCCGGCTTAGTGTTTGTTTTAAAACAGAACACAAGAGAGTTCTCAATAAACGCTTGTTAAATGAATGAATGAAACACCTCTGTAACAGGGTGACCATTCAACCTGCTTAGCCCAGGATGGTCCCTGCTCACACCTGTCATCCTAGCATAATTATTGAAAGTGCCCCTTTTTAATGATCAAACTTGTCTCAGTTAAATCAATAAATGATATGGTCGCCCAAATTATAGCCATCATCGAATTGATTTCTTTTTTTTTCTTTTTTGAGTTGGAATCTCACTCTGTTGCCAAGACTGGAGTGCAGTGGCCACTCCCGGCCACCGCAGCCTCGACCTGCTGAGGCTCTGGCGATCCTTCCACCTCAGTCTTCCAAGTAGCTGGAACTACAGGTGTGCGCTACCACGCCCGGCTGATTTTTTGATTTATTGTAGAGATGAGGTCTCACCAAGTTACCCAGGCGGGTCTCGAACCCACAGGCTCAGGCAATCCACTCACCTCAGCTTCCCAAGGCACGGGATTATAGGCTGAGCCACTGAGCCAGGCTGGAATTGATTTCTAACTCTCCCTTTGTTTTGTCTACTAGATGGTGAGCTCATTGGGGACAGAAATTTTTTATTTTTATATCCTCATTTATTCAGTCAACTGAGAGACTGACACTGTTAGGTGCTGGGGATATAATGCTGAATATAGCAAACATGGTTCTTGCTCTCATGAAGCTTACAATCTAGCAGGAAAGAACAATCTAGTGGAGAGAATAGAGTCTGATATCATAAATGCTGGTATGTGAGTGAATGACTAAGCATGGATACTTAGAGGTTCCTAAACAAACAAACTTAATCCCATGATTTATAGAGACAAAACAGTCATAAACATAGAACTCTAGGTGATCAAAATAACCATTTATTTAAAGAGTTGCTAATTTCTTCTTCTTCTTTTTATTTTTATTTATTTATTTTTTTAGAGTTGTGCTCTTGCTATGTTGCCTAGGCTGATCTCGAACTCCTAGGCTCAAGCAATCCTCTCACCTAGCCTTCCAAAGTGCTGGGATTACGGGCATAAGCCAACGTGCTTGGCCAAATTAAAAATTTAAACTATAAACTGCACACATATACCTAAACATACATAATATTTAGATGCTGCTTTAATGTTAAACGTAAGAAAAAAAGGGCCACGAAATAATAGCAAGAATGAGACTTTGAGTCTCAATCTTTTTTAGACCGACAATTTATAATCCTGTAACCCTTCTTAGCAGGATGGATTATCAGTATGTACACTCTCCCTTTTTTTAACAGATGAGAAATCAGAGGTTTTAGAAACTGAGCCACAAAACAAAGGAATTACTTCTTAAACCAGAATTAGATTTTGGTAGAACTTTGAGAACTAGAACTACCTGCTGTCCTAGACTTGTTAACCATATTCCCCATGGGCAAATTACAAAACTCTTTCAACCCGTTTCCTCTTCCATAAACTGTTGATAATATTATCTCCAGAATTAAACTAAAGGATTAAATGAAATTATGTAAAGGCATTTACTCCCATAATCTGGCTCCTAGAAAGCACTCAGGAACGTTAGTTCTCCATCCATTTCTCCTATTTATCTTTCTGTGTTTGGTGACATATAGAATGATATAAAATGATTTGAAAAGAAGACATTGTAACATAAATATCTATATAATACCAGTAAAATTTTTATTCTAAAAGCTGAGTGCTAAACTAGGCCCTTCCACCCCCTCTAAAAGTTATAATCTTATTAATATTCATTTATTATTTTATTATTATAGGCAAAGACCCAGAGAAGCATTCCAGGAACAGAGCAGCAGGTAAGATTTTTCTGGAAAAAGAGTTTGGGGGAGAGCTAAGGATGTGGGGGTCATTTAAGCAGCAGTGGACGTCAGTTTTAAAGCTCTACTCGTTTACTCTTGGTCACTTTTGGTTCAAGAAAGGAAGAAGAGCATCAACCATTCGTTCGTTGAGACCTTTGGATGTGGGGGAGGAGGGATATAAACAAAAGCAAACACTCTTTAGTTTCCACAACGTCTCTCGACCCCAAGACTTGCGAGCTCTTTGGTGAGGGCCAGCAGGTCTGTTCTCCAGGAGTGCCCTGGGTCTGGACTCCATTTCCCAGAGTCCCTTAGTGCCCTAATGTATTCAGTGCTCAGAGTGCCTGTATGTGTGTGAGTGTGAGAGAATGTGTGCGTGCGTGTGTGTGTGCGCGCGCGTGTGTCTCTCTGGGTCCCTGGGAGAGTGGAGGCTCATTCACTGATTAGAGCCAGCGCTGAGAGGCAGCACTGCTCCTTCTCTCACGCCAACCGAGTCTCTTGATCTGTACATGCAATCCCAGGCAGCTCGCGAACACAAACCCGGGGCCAGCCGCCTACTGCTGCTGCTGCCGCTGCCGCCGCCGCCGCCGCCGCTGCCTCCGCCGGCTCTGCGCGCCCGGGACTTTTCATGCACCGCACTCTCCGCCTTCTTCCCTCCGTGTCCTGAAAAGTGCGGCCGTTCTCCCAAGGAATTTCCACGGCAAGTATGGAGATCAGAAAGGGGTGTGGATATGTGTGCGTGCACAAGACGGGTGGGTGCGCGGCACGCCGGGTTGTTCGGGAACCTGGCTAACTTTCTGGGTCCGCTTCCTCGGTATTCGGGCGGTTCCTCTGGACAGGGGCAGGGGCTGGGACCTGGACTGGAGCGTCTTAGGTCATCGCGACGGGGCTTCTCGGCATCGGTGCCCTGCACGCTCCGTGCGCTGCCTCGCTGAAACTTTCCGTCTTGAGTTTTCCTTAATGTGTTTTATTTGGGGGGTGGGGGTGCAAGGGGGAGGGACCAGACGCGCGAATTGGACAAGTAGGGAGGGTGAGGGGACAGCAGGGGAAGGGAGCAGGACTTCTCCATCTTTTAATAAGCCCCACTCCCACTTTGTTTGGGTCGATCGCGAGAATGCCTTCTCGCCCGGCACCACGGTGTACCCCGCGGTGATTTCCGGGCTCCCCTGTGCACCCCGCGGTGATTTCCGGCGGGGCCGGGACTGGGTGGTCCTCAGTGGGGAGCCCGAGGCGGCGGGTGGGATGGGGAAGGGCGACCCGAAGGAGAAACGAGCTCGACCGCCCCACCCAACGCACAGCCGGCCCAGTGGGGTACCCGAGGAGAGGCTGGGAAGCCCTGGGCCCCCTGGGCGCGCGGCTTCCTTCTTCCTAGAGTGGGCTGGCGTGACGGGTGTGACGGGAGGGTGGTGGGGTGGGACGGAGGCATCCTCTGCGGCCGGAGGGAGGCAGGTGCTGGCAGCGGCGGGCCGTTCTAAACGCCACCGGTTAACTCCCCGCCCCGCTGGGCTGGACCGGCCTGGCCGTGGAGCAGCCCGACCCGCGGGGTCTCCCGGGATTTGGGGGGTCGGAACCCCCCTCCCAGCGGTTCTATGGCGCGAGGCGGGAGGACGATCGTGTAGACTGCAGCGCCTGGCTCTTTCTGCAGTTTTATCTTTGTCTTCGACCTGCCTTCAACTGAGTAACAATTTCTCTCCTTCCGACTTGAGAACAAAACTTTTCCGTGAGCACGCCGGTCGCGGCAGTCGTGCGGCCACTGCTCCCGGGCTTGTCAGCCGGGGCCGAGCGACCTTCTCCGCCCGGAGCCCAGCCCCGCCACCGCGCTCCGGAGCCTCGGGCCACCCCCCCACCCCTAACCCGGGGCTTTTCAGGGCTCGGCCTGGGCGTTTCGCCTTTGTGCTTTGTAAGAGAAAGCCTTTTCTTCCAGGGCACAACAAACTTGGGCGGAGAGCTTCCGCGTGGCCCCCCGGGCGAGGCCGCCCACGGTGGTGAGGCCAACCGAGGGGATGCCGCTCCAGGAGTCCCTCCGAGAGCTCGCGGCCCGGGTCGACCCCAGCCGGCGAGGGCGCGCGGGAGCCCCGAGGTAGCGGGGACTCGGGCTGCCAGGAGGCAGAGGAAGAGCTCTTGCTTCCCGTAAAGGACACGCTGCATTCTCGGCTCCGGCTCCGGGACGCGGCTCCAGCGGCGGGCCTGGGTCCGGGCCCCGAGCCGGGCGCGCGTCGCATCGGGTGGGTCCACGGGTCCAGGGCCGTGGGTGTGGGGCGCAGCCCTGCCTGACCGGCCAGGGTCGGCCAGGGTCCCCCGCCTGTTCTGTTCCCCTGCCCGGGAGCAGCTGAGCGGGAAAGCACGGGCGCTGTCTGCCCACGACGCCCAGCAGCCAAGCCTCGCCTTTCGCCTCCGCTCCGGACTCGGCTTGAGGGGCAAAGGGAGAGAAAAGAAAAATAAAGAGAAAAAGGGCGGGCAGCGAGGAAGCGGCGAGTGGGGCTAGGGGGAGCCGAGCGGGCAGGGGGCCTGCGCCTTGCCGGGCCTCCTCCTCTTTCCGCCTCGCGGGCTCTTCCTGCAAAGAGGGAATGCACAGAAGGGGAAGGCAGAGAGAGCGTCGAGGAAGAGCGCTGCGGGCGTCTCCCGCGCCGAGCCCTCCTGCCGAGACCCCGCCAAAGTGGCGTGAGTTCGCTCGCTGTGCTCCGGGGCGAGGCAGGGGAAGGCCGAGGACAGGGCGGCGCCGCGCCGCTGCTGACCGACGGGGCCGGGCCGCGCGCTGAGCGAGCCGGGACACACACCTGTTCTGCGAGCCGCGCCGTGTGCGGCGCCGGGCCGACGGCGGCGCGGGCGGCAAGACCCCCCCGCACCCCACGCCCTCAGTACGGGACCGGGCAGTGCCCGGGAGCCCCGCGCCGCCCGTGTTTGCCAGAGAGCGGGAGCCCGGGGCTGCCCGCTGTGGCGGCGGCGCGCGGCGGCGGGACCCGGGTGACCCGCGGGGCGGGGCTGCGCCGGGGCTCGCGGTCTTTGGACTTTGGTCCAAGGCAGGCGGCCCCGAGCCCCTGCCCGCGGGCCCCGCGCGGCTGCGGACCCCGGCCCCTCGCACTTGTGGGTCCTTCGCGGCCCCGCGCCTTGGTCCCCCAAAGTTACAGACGGATTGCTTCGTACGGAGACGGTTAGGACCTCAAGTATTCTTTGTGCAAAGGCCACCGAGAGCCGGAGGGAGAGGTCGGGCCAAAGAGTAGTGGGCTCGGCTCCGCGTTGGCCCCAAGTTTGTGTAGGTTTCGCCTTCACCTCTTCTTCCCCCGTTTTCCCTAAAAGAGTTGGCTTTTCCTGGTCGAGACTCTTCCGGGCAGAATTCTGCGCCCGCTCGCTGAGCCCGCATCCCTTCGGCCCCGCATTCTTGGTCCCTCCAGGGTGTCTCGAACTCGCCCCCGTTGTCCAAGCTGGGCCTGAATCTGGGTCCAAACCCAGGACCGATACCCGGCCGTGTCTGAACCGCAGGCGTCCGCCCTGGCCCGGTAGCCGTGTTGCATTATGCTCCTTGAGATCTCGCACATGGTGCTAAAATTTCTGTTTGAGCGGTGTTTCCAAATACCCTCCGGCTTTTGGTGTGCGGGAATTCTCTTCAAGCGAAGACGTCTGTGAACTTAAAAAAAAAAAATTCTTTCCTGCGTTCTTAACAACCCCCCACTACTCTGGCCTCATTTCCCATTGTTCTTTGCTTTTTAAGTTCCCTGTTAATTTTTTAAAAGTTTATTTATGCAAAGGAAAAATATCGTTTAATTTGTTCTATTATTTTAATTCCTGGCTTTTGGAAACGGTTCAGAGACCACAAAAATGTCACCTGTTGTAATAAGCAGAGGAGTGTTGTGTGTGCATTTTAATTGCCAGCAGAGCCGCAGTTTGGTGGGCGCCCCGAGCTCGGCTCCAGGAAGGAGCCCTGTGCAGCATTCTTTGTGGCAGTCATTTGCAAATGGGTTTGGCTCCCAGCAACAGCGGCGGCGGCCGCGGCGGCAGCACCACCGCTCCCGTCTACGCCGACCTCGGGCGCGGGTTAGGAAGCCCAGACCCTGGACAGGGATGGGCAGAGGCTGGGCGGGAGGTGGCCCACTCTCTGAGACTTCCTCTCTGGCTTTCGGTTTTTCTGTGCGAAAGTGGCTGATTCGCGCCCGAGAGCGCGGGGCGCTGCGCATCAGCCCAGCCTCAGACATTTTCGCGTTCCAAACGCCGGCTTCTTCGTTGCATGTGTCTTGGTTCTGGCATGTTTAACCACGCAATTAGTAATCTCAGTAATTATTCAGTTAGCGGGCGTTTTGTAATCACTTTAAACCAGGGTCGGATGTGCGATTTAAGAAACAAACAAACTCCCACACATGCAGAACTGGACCCAACCCATCACGTCAAGGATGTGAAAATTTTAAAACTCAATATTTGTTGGTCCCTCCGTCCAACCTCGCTGCCTGCCAGACAATTTATTTAGCTTCGTGGATTGATCCCTCCTCCTTGTTTAGTTAATTCAACAAAGACTTTTTGCAATCTGTTTGGAGTTTGTCTGATGCCGTGGAAAAGTAGCTGATGATTTATTTGGTTGCTTTTCGATTTCTGTCTTCAGCCCTTCTTTCTCCTCCTTTCAGCGGGGATGTCAGCTGTTATTACTTCCTATTGATCCCTTTGCAAAGTGAGAAGTGAACTAAAATTAATGTCAATTCCACTGCTCGGATCAATAGCTGGAGTTATTTTAATCTGGATTTGCACGAAGTGCTAAATTAAAAAAAATCAGCATAGAGGCAGAAAAGTAACAGTTACTTACTTTCCCTTCGCCCGGTTCTTTACAGTCACCCAAATGCTCCATCAAGCTGATTATCTTACAATCCATATTTTTTTAATTAAGAGGGTCAGTTAGTTTTCTTATTTTGGGTTCTGTGTTTAAACCCATGACATTTTGACATTGGGAGTGTATTAACTATAGATTTTCATAATGACTGTGGTCGGCTGAGGCCTCATCTATACAAGTTGTTAATGTGAGGAGGGGGTAAGAAAGAAAAGAGAAAAGAAAAAAAAAAGCCCTCCTCCCCCACAGAGACCAACGCCCACACAACCAGGACGTGGAGTAAAAGAGATGTGGCCTGGAAAAATGTTGTTGATTTATTTTCAGTGTAATGAAGTTTTCAAATGAATGACCAGGTTTGAGTGATTCACTGTGTTCTGTTGGAGTGTCCGGTGCTGTCGCCAGATTACTAATTTATGAAACTCATTTAACGTAATGAGGTGATCTAGGAAGTAAGAATAGAAAGTGAATCCTGGGGGGGGGGGCTCTTGAGGGGAGAGACATGCCTCACACCAAATGTGTTATGTTTGTCCTTTTCTCCAGCTTGCTTTATAGAATATTGCTTATTGATAGACAAGTAGTTATTTCTGTTGTGAAGAGCTGCTTAGAACCCTTGGAATAGCCGTAGACCCACTTTCAGAGTGTCCATGTTGTGTGACCATTAATCTGACTAGAAAATAGCCAAGAACAGGATTTCCAGACTTGTAAGGCTAACTGGTTGTCCTTGGCAGATCATTCCTTGCACAGCTATAACTTGACAGGAAAGTTATTTAAAATTTGGAGGAGAGAAAAATCCGTTAATGTGAGATACATAATCTGGTAATTTAGCAATGATGTCTATAAGGAAAGATGCCAAATGAGGAAGCAGTCTGATGGTGTCCACTCATCTTCCCAATTAATAACAGTCATTGACACGTCTGCTACAGGATGGGAGAAGGAAATACTCTCTTTGCACTGCATTAAGCCAGGAGGATTCGTCTGCGGTTTAACTGAGGTTTCTCTAAGGGAGTACCAAAGATACTCCATTATATAGGTTGGCTTTTTAAAAGGAAGGGAGTAGATTTTATTTCTGATAAGACTCTCCAAAGATTATAATTTGTACCAGATGGTGATTTGGGGTTACATTTTGAGTTTCACTAAGTTTCTATTTCTTGTTTATTTTTGAAACTAGTGAGTCCGAGTGTTCATCTTATGTGATCCTGGCTTTTGATATGTAGTCTTTCTCCCATCCCCCACGCAAAATAAATTTTGGAACAGAATCAGTGACTATGAAAATGTACAACCTAGATTTACAAGGGAAGCTGAAAGAAGTCTCTCCAAACTCCAATTTGTTCCGGGGTCCTTTATTGGACATCAACTCTGACTGAGCCAATAAGCAGAGCAAAAATAAGTCAGAAATTTTGTTAACATTTTGCTCTAAATGTTAATGGCAAATCCAAGGCAGTTTACAAATCTACTTAAGAGTGAGTGCATTAGTAACTAAAATTACCGATCCGTTCTTTGCTGCCCCTGGAAGACAGACGCTTCTAGGGAGCGTATGCCAAAGGCACCCATTATGGTTTTAAATATTCTCAGAGACGCCAAGCATTTTATTGATAAAGGTTTTGTTCCTTCTCAGAAAAGAGAAATTAGGAAGCCTGTGTGATTAGAGAGGGGCATGCATCAAAAGTAATGTTGATGCCGTGTGTTCTCATAGCACTTCTTTCTGGAAACCGTCTTAGATGAGACATGAAGATGCATGTTTATGTATGTGCTAGTGTGTATCACTTACTCATGTGTGCAATTTCTAGCAACAAATATTTTCAGGTGTTCCTGGTCTAGATGCATCTGATTTAGGGATTTTTTTTTCAGGGGAGATGAAGGGTGGATGCATATGTGGGGAATCGTGTAGGTAGACCCTCCTCTCTGAACATCAGGCCTGTGGTGTGTGCTGGTGAAAGCCCTTTAAAATATAGACCACCACCACCACCACCACCCCCCCACTTAATCTACTGGATGACTTGGCCTTCCAAAGCTCATTTGTTCAGGGAATATTGTATTTGGAGGTTTTATGATTTTTTTTCTTTGCTGGGCTCAGGCGCATTTCACCCGGAACGTGTAGGGACCAAAGTCAGCTACGCGTACATCACAGTAAGTTGTCTATTGATTTTCTTGAATGAAAATGGTCTGATGCTGCTGCCCACTGGCTCCTAAAGCCTGTGGTGTCTCTTGCCCGAGCATCTGTAAGCCAGAAGGATGGTGTTTCGATCACTTGGGGTTTCCCTTTTTTTCCTCCCCCTGACTTTCCCCCTCCTTCTTTTTTTCTCTTTGCTATTTCCACAGGTCTTAGAAGGGAATGATTCCCCAGTAATATCCCCTGGCCTGATCCAAGGTGCCACTCAGCCTCCCTCCCAGGGAAGATTGCTTCTTGTGTAACGCCGGCCACAGAAAGAGACTCCAATGGACTTACACCGGGCAGCCTTCAAGATGGAGAACTCTTCCTACCTCCCCAACCCTCTGGCATCCCCAGCACTGATGGTCCTGGCGTCCACGGCTGAGGCCAGCCGTGATGCTTCCATCCCTTGTCAGCAGCCACGACCCTTTGGTGTACCTGTCTCAGTAGACAAGGACGTGCATATTCCATTCACCAACGGCTCCTACACCTTTGCTTCTATGTACCATCGGCAAGGTGGGGTGCCAGGCACTTTTGCCAATCGTGATTTCCCCCCTTCTTTACTACACCTCCACCCTCAATTCGCTCCCCCAAATCTAGATTGCACCCCAATCAGTATGCTGAATCACAGTGGTGTGGGGGCTTTCCGGCCCTTTGCCTCCACCGAGGACCGGGAGAGCTATCAGTCCGCCTTCACGCCGGCCAAGCGACTTAAGAACTGCCATGACACAGAGTCTCCCCACTTGCGCTTCTCAGATGCAGATGGCAAGGAGTATGACTTTGGGACACAACTGCCATCTAGCTCCCCAGGTTCACTTAAGGTTGACGACACTGGGAAGAAGATTTTTGCTGTCTCTGGCCTCATTTCTGATCGGGAAGCCTCATCTAGCCCAGAGGATCGGAATGACAGATGTAAGTACTTTGGTTCAAGCCCTCCCTTACCCCCAGTAAGCCCTGCCTTGCAGTAGTGTTCAACAGGTCGGTGGTGTTTTACACACTCCTAGTCATGGGAAGGGCCAACGGCTTCCCTCAGTAGCTGTGGAGTGCTAACCTTTGCTTGTGTCTCATTGGTGAGCACTGGTAGTTCTTGTAAGAAATGTTTTTCTGAAGGTAGCCAGAGGCAAGGTGGCCTTCCTCTCCAGGCCATGGTGGGCCTATTCTCTGGGGACTCTGGAGTGAAGAGGGGTGCCAAAGATATGCTGGAGCGAATGCCATTTCATTAGGAATTGTAGGTTCCTAGGGAATTTGGGGGGCCTGAAGAAACATGTTCACCCCTCCTCTCTTTGCTGTCCCCATTATGTGTGTCTGATCTCGGTGTTGTGTTCTAGCTTTTCCATCGTATCACACTCAGCAGAATCCACGTGATTTTATTTTCACAACTCTCAGCTCTTGTCCACATCAGGCTATTTTTCAGAGAAGGACAAAGGTGTCGTCAATCACCATAAAGCATTTCAAACAGCTGTGTTTTCCTTGCAATCGCAAGGCTAGGAAGCCGTCTTCTCTTGGGATTTCACAGGTTTGCTGGATGCTTATCCTGGGTCTTACTTTTAGGACTAGACACGGTTGACCCGTGTGACTGCTCCATATTTGGTGTTCACAACTACTATTAATTTCTGCTTATGAAACAGCTTTTCTCCTTTTCTCCAAGTGTCTTGCTGGGCTCTGGCCATACTCACTTGTAGTCTTAACGAAATCTTTATTTGGAACTTGTAGACCAGGAGTGCTGAACTCTGCAATCTTCTGCTCTAATATAATCGGAAAATAATTGTGTTCTGAAGCTTCTGGGATGTGGGTAGACAGAGCAGTTTTCTTCAAGCCTGGTGAGAATTTATGAACTGAGGGTGTTTTTCCACCCAACCCTTTGTTCTAAGATTTGTTTCATTTTATTTTCTTAAGAAAACTACATCTGAGGTTTGCTTTCCCCTCTTCTCTATTTTTTTGTGCTCCCGTCCTCTCTATAACCACCAACACGAATACCATTTTTTTCCTCTCCTCTTTATGATGCCGAGGAGAGTAATAGAGACATTGCAGCTCTCTCCCCTGTCGCCACTGCTTCCTCAGGCTGTCTCCTTGAATTAGGCACTGTGTTAACTTTCCTGCGCTAAAAGGCATCTGCCTAAACCCAGCGTACCTTTTCAATAAAAGTCATCATAAAATCAACCTGCCTTGTAAATCCATCGCTCTTTGGTTTTGAAATATGTTGCAAGTGTGTCTTTTATGTCAGCATCTGTAAGCCGGAGACCTCCCCACTTAAGGGAGAAGGCTGCTGTCTGACAGACAACACAACTGCTAGTGTTGCTCTCACTTGACTTTGGCGCTTGCTCACCTTTTCACTTCTGTTGACTTCTGTGTATTACGATCCCACTTCTTGGATAGACCTGCTGAACAGGTATTGGCGTCAAGTTGGTCCACTTTATTTTATTTTTAGTTTTCATTTGTCCAGTGATGTGCAAGTGATCAAAGCTAGCTGTAATCTGACCTCTGGCTAAAACTGCCCTGTGTTAGGGTGTGACAGATTCTACCCTTTTTTCTCCAAATACAAGTTGAAAATGAAATCCTCTCAAAACTAATATGCCACAAAGTAACATCTGGAGATCAAGATTCCTTTCTTCTCACCTAACAGATCCAGCCTGTCTCCATTTTTCTGTCTTTTTAACCCAGACTGGTATCAGACTCCCAGAGCAGAAGGAAGCTTGTTAGTCAAGTCAGAACTCATAGATGTGGATATCCATTCCCCTCCGAGTGTCAAAGCCATAACTCTTCTGTTTGCCTGGTTTGCATTGTGTGGTGGTGCCATCCCCCATGGAGATGGATCCCTCACACAGGAATACGCCTGGGTGGAGAAAAATTAAATGAATCTGTCTCCCAAAGTGAAATGGAATTCTGACCTTGAAACTAATGAGATTCTGATCAGAAGGGTGGGGAAACTTCTTTATTTCAAATTGTAGCATTATATAAATTGGCATCCTTTATTTGTTTAAAATAGTCTTCCCTTATTGAGTGTACTCTATGTTCTCCTTTTTCTTGTACATAAGCATTAAACCTAGGAGTGTCTGTGAGTGTAGGATGTTTGTACACTCACATTATCCAGAGTTGCATTTGTGACTAATCTTTAACAAGAAACAAAGGCACAAAGTGGGGAGGAGACAGTTACCCTGTGGTCACCTTGAATATGTGCTCTTTTCTCCTTTCCTTTCCCTAAGTGGCATAGTAGCCTTCACAGGGTGGTACTGGGTAGCATCTGTGCTTTTGATTTCGAATTTTTGGAAGGCAGGAGAAACATTTTTCTGCAGGGAAGGGCTGAAGGGGCACTATGACAAAGTCTGCAGCAGCTTTCTTGGCTCCTGTCATACCCCGACGTGTGTCGGAATATTTATGGTCTGTTTTATGTAAATACATATTTAAGGGCCGTTAGAAGGCCTGATTATTCCCACTAGATGCCTTTCAGGTCCTCCCTACAGAACCGTTTTTGAAATAAGTAATATTTCTCAGATAATCGGGTGACAGTATACAAGACTGCTTCCGAAGGGAGAGAGAGCTTCAGGGACAGATGGGGGCAGTGACAGCGGGCTGGGGAGGTGAGAGGAGGGAGGACAGAAAGTGTGTAAAATAGCAAAGTAATAGAGAAAAAAAAAGCCACTGAGTGCTTTTGCCCAGATTGACAAAATTAACTATAAATGTGTATTTTTATTCTTATAACTTAGAGTTAATCTCTAATATGGTCGACTCATTTTTCAATTCTCTTCATGTAAATAATTTTTTCATAAACTATAAAAAGATGCTTTAGTTAAATACAGTAGTAAAACTCCTAAACCAGCATTTAGCTCTAAAGTTTTGTTAGTAGGTGGGGGGTTGGGGGGGTGAGTGTGGGGGTGTGTATGTTTCCCTTACTTAGAGTATAAGTTTTATGACTGAGTTTTAGGTCATTCAAAAATCAGTTTTATAATGGAAACACTGACAGTTTTTACTGTTGCAGCCACCCCCTCCTCACATACTATAGCCATATGCAGATATGTCCACATGTGAGCCCATTTGAAAGAAGGCCTGCAGACATGGTGTAATGCACATGTGTTCTTTTCTTAAATCTGGATACTGGTAGGCAGGATTTCTTGTGTGATTAAATGTGCATTTTTTTGTAGAAAGAGCTATAGCTATTTGGATATTGTCTCTTCTAGTAGATGATTCCGATTTGCTTGCCTGTCCATCCACCTGGCATCACAGTTGATTTCCCGAGGTAGGTGTTAGGCTCTATGGGAAAAAGAAGCCTTTTCTCTACAGGACTGACTTATTTGCCCTGGAAAATGGGAGAAGTGTTTTGTGAGAAGCCATTCATGGAGGACGCATAATTCCCCAGGAAGGGGACTGAGGTAACTCCTGTTTATTATCACTCCCTGAACCAGTCCCCAAGGCTCCTTGTCCATGGAAATGATGCTAAAATTTATGAACCAATTACAAATAGTCCACGTGTGTCTTACATATGAAGTGTCTACAGATATGTTTCCCAGGGCCTTTAAAATAAACATTCCCTCATTAAGGAAACTTTACAACAAAAGAGAAGATAAGTATTGTCTGCAACCTTGTGTTAGAATCTATACATTTATCACCCCCTCAGCACTCTGGCTTCTACCCGGTGCATTTCCTAATGGTTCTCTTTAGGCAGCCCTGTGTCCACATTCCTGCCTGTGTGACAGTCTTTGACCAGCCTGCCAGTCCAGCCACTCAACCTAGAGTGCAGCTGGCTAAGTATGCATCCTCACCCCAGGGCTGAAAGGGCCCAGAACTACCTGCTGGAGCAAAGACTGCCTTCTGGCTTACCCCAGAGATGGGCACTGGGCACTGGACCTAAATGGCTTTGCTTTGCCCTCTTTCTTTGGCCATTAGCTGTGGTCAGACAAGGTCACAGGTAGACCGGAAACCTGATGGCTGCAGCAGCTCCTGGGTGCTCTGCTTTCCCCCTTCTCATGTATTTGAACAGTCATTCTCAGGTCCCAAAAGCACTGAGGAAGAGATGGTATTTTGTACTCTGAGATGTGTTTTTATAGAGGCATGTATCATCGAAGACCCTGTGTCCTAAGAATCCCATCAACTGAGCCCACCTAGGCCCAGGGCAGCCTGGGATGAGGAGGGCTGGCTGGCATTATGGACGTGGGATGAGGAGGGATCGTTTCCGACGGTTCTGGTGGGCAGGGACTCTAGCCTAGGTTGTCAGGAGAGTTGCTCTTGCTGGGGAGAATGTTGGGGTCAGTACCCAGGTCACCAGGCTCCACCTCTGGATTGCAGCTGGAGCAGATGACCAGAGGGAAAGAGTTAGCAAATCGCCAGAAGAGATGGGTCATATGGTCCCCTCTGTCCTGACTAACAGACCTACTCCGATTCTTACCCAGCTGCTCCCGGGTTGTCCTGGAGCCTCTTTTCTCCTCCCCCTGTCCCGGGGGGCAAGAACTCCTGTGATGTGTGTGGTTGTTTCTGGTTGTTCACTCCCAACACGGTCGTGGAGACTCCTTTTCATGCTGCTGGGTTTAATTGTCTTGTTGGGATAAAGAAATGTTTGCACAGCTAAAGTGGGGCCGGGCTGGACGGGAGCGGTCCCTGATGGCTGCAGAGCCATCTGGCCCGGCTTG